GGATTGAGGTGCCCAAAACTGGACACAACACTCGAGGTGTGGCCTCACCAGTGCTAAGTACAGGGGCATGATCCCCTCCCTACTTCTGCTGCTCACACTATTTTTGATACAAGCCAGAATGCCAATGTTCAGTCTTTTCCTCTCCTGGAAAGCTTCTCTTCCCCCCAACCCCAGCCCTGTGGCTTTTTGGAGGGATGTGGAGGAAAATCTGAATGAGGAGGAGCATGGACCGTGGTGGACAGCCCCTTGGGCTCAGCCCTGGGGTTGGGGTACTGCCTGTTGGCACCTCGAGCTGAGGGCAGGGTGCTGCCCGCATCCCACCCGGACACAGCTCAGGGCTGGTGGAGCTCTCCCATCCTTGCCAAGGCTGGGATGCTGCAGTTGCCATGGCAACGCGGGAGGCCTGCTGAGCCGGAGCCCAGAACCCACCCATTTGGGTGGTGGTGGTGGTGTTGTGTGGGGGGGGTGGTGTGTGTGGGGCTGGGTCTGCTCCCCATCGCCTCCCCTGGCCCCCGCCACCTCATCCTACCCCCAAATCGAGGTCGAAAAGCTGACAAACCCACCCGTTTTCCAGCAAAGTCACCCTGGGGAAAAACACAAGGTTTTCCACAAGAGGAAACATCTTTGGGTGAAAAAACGTGTCTGAACCCGTTGTGGGGAGCATGCGGCCATGGGGGAGACACCGGCAGCCCCCTGCCCTCCTCCCAAACCCCCCCGGATGGCTGGGGCTGGGGCAAAGGCACCCAACACCCCGCAGAGCTTGGCCCAGAGCATCCCCACGGGGATCCATCCCTATGGGATGCTCTTGGGGATCTTTCCAGGGACCTGGGAGATGGGCTGTGGAGGGATGGGGTTGGAAGCGCCACCGGCTCCGCTCCCCCTCCACCTGAAGGAGGCTGGATCTGGCCACCCAAGGTCACCTCTCCTTTCTGCCACCACCCGTGTCCCTGCTGAACCACCCCACGTGTCACGGGGCTGGGTTTTCTCCCCACCTCAGGACAGCTTTTGCTCCGGCGGCTCGTCCCCGCAGGGGCCCTCTGCATCTGCCAAGCTTTGAGTGACATCTGTCCGTCACCTCCCTGGCAGCTGCGGAAAGGACAGGCAGGGGACGAGCCCGAGCTGCCTCCCCACGGTATGAGGCTCTGTGGGACCAGAAAGGCCACCGGGATGGCTTGGAGTGGGGCCAGAGGAGGCCACCGAGATGCTGGGAGGGCTGGAGCCCCTCTGCTGGGAGGGGGGGCTGAGAGAGTTGGGGGGGTTCAGCCTGGAGAAGAGAAGGCTCCGGGGAGACCTTGGAGCCCCTTCCAGTCCCTAAAGAAGGGGGGCTCCAGGAAAGCTGGGGAGGGACTCTGGATGAGGGAGGGGAGCCCTAGGAGGAGGGGGAAGGGTTGGACCCTGCAAGAGGGGAGATGGAGCTGAGCTGTGGGGAAGAACTTGTTTGGTGTGAGGGTGGTGAGAGCCTGGCCCAGGTTGGCCCGAGAAGCTGTGGCTGCCCCATCCCTGGAGGGGTTGAAGGGCAGGTTGGAGGGGGCTTGGAGCAACGTGGTGTGGTGGGAGGTGTCCCTGCCCAGGTCAGGGGGTTGGAATTTTATGTTCTTTAAGGTCCCTTCCAACCCAAACCATCCTGTGATTCTCTCGTGGGTCCTCCCCCAGACCCCGTTCTCAGCGGTGGCTCGTGCCCTCCCTCGGGGGCCACATTTTGCACGGTGGCCTCGAGCTCATCCCACTCTGCCCGGGCACCGGGTACCACATGAGTCACATTTCCTTCCAACGCCCATCTCAGCTCGGTGCCGCCGCTATTTTTGGAAACCCTTGAAAGCGGATCAGCCCTAAGAAGCGCATTTAATGACCGTTCTCACCGTGCTGGGCCCATGTCCCCCCAATGTCCCCCCGACGTCCCTCTGTGGTGGCCGGGTAAGCCTCTGGCAGCCCATGGGATCGGGATGCACGGTGATGCCGGCGGTGGGATGCATCCTGCAGCCCCCTCCTGAGTCACCAGGGAGCCAAAGCAGCATCTCGGTGGCAAAATATTTCCTTTTAAAGGGTTTGTTTGGGGTTGGGGTTGTGTGTCGGGTTTTTTTTGGCGATGCCATCTTGGCGTTGATGGTTTGGGCTCCAAACGAGCCGATCGTTCACGGTTATTTTTACTCCCAACCTCCAGGATTTCAGCTGGGGCTGCAGTGGCTCATTTCGCATCTCTAAGCAAAAAAAAACCACAAAAAACCAGGCAAAATTCAGCTCTAGAAATCAAGGGCTGGATGAAATTAGACACGGGTGGGATTTAGGTATGATGTCCAGGACCTTCTGGCTTTCCCAGGACTTGGTTTTGGGGGATGCTGGTGGGACTGGACCTCCTGCATCCAGCGCTGGGGGAAAAAATCTGTGAGTTCTTTCCTTAGGGAATGGTGCCCGCGCTCCTCATCCGTGGCTCAGGGGGTGCCCAAGGTCGGTGTCGCCTTCCCGGGAGCAGACCCCGTGGGGATTCGGGAGGTGGCTTTTTTGGGTTTTTTTTTTGGGGGGGGGGTCTG